GTAGTCCCAAGAATTTAGCTGTCCCCCCACCCCACCCTTCAGTGCTGGCTCAGAAACCCCCAGAACAAGCTCCCTCCACTTTTCTCTCCTTTCACCCTCCCCATTCTGAAAACAGCACCAGGAGCGGGGCTGCACTGCCCTGCCCCTGGAGCATGCTGACATAAGTTAATGAAGGCAGTCCACTTTGGAGCGTCTTCATCTGAACCCTCATATAATGAAGGTTCATATTATTGTGGGATTGGGCCCTTTTAAAGCACTCTACAGCTATGAACTTCTGTAAGGGCATGGCTGTCGAGCACTTTCAGTGGCTGATCATGCGACAAAATGTCATTTGTATTAGTGCCCCATGTGACTCACTCAAGGTCACTCAGGTAGCTTTTGGCACAACCACAAACTGAACTTGGGTCTTATGAGCTTTAGTCTGACATCTTAAGTACAAGATGATCATGCTTAATACTTTGCACCCATACAGAAGTTTGTATCCTTCAAAAAAACCATAGTCCAAAGGCAGTTGAACAATTTCAACTTCTTTTGACTTTCATGAAGGTTGCCTTCCAGCCTGTCTCCCTGGTTCACATCATAAAATAATGTTACAGGCAAGGCTGCACTGCTGTAGTCCATGTTGCCTCTGTTGCCAGTATGGCAGGCTCATTTTGATTTCTAAACTGCTTAATTTTACATTAGATTAAGCCAAGAAATTGCTATTTCAGGATCTGTATACTTCTTATGTCAGAGACATTTGGGGTTTTGGCTAGAAATGTTTGCATTTGTCTTTGAACTTGGATATTTTACTGTTTAACATCTAATTATTTATTCATTCATAGATCACGATATGCTTTTAGTTAAATGCATTCAGAAGCATTTCTCAAGTATTAGTCACTAGGGGTGTGCAAAATGGGCGCTATTTGATTTAGATTCAACCCGAATAGGGGACAGTGATTCGATTAGTTGATTCGGATCACTGTCCCTGATTTGGTTTGGCTGAATTTGAATCTGAAGATTCAATGCTGATTCAGAGAATCAGCGATTCAGACATAGACACAGCTTTAAATGTTTTTTCTACATGCCTTGAGGAAGCTGGCATGGCTTATGATCACTGCGATGCTGGGGTGGATGGAGCATCCCACAGGATGCGGGGCGGGGGTCCCATGTGCTCGGTGCTGAACCCAGAATTGGACTGGAAGTACACTGGTCCACTTCTGGTCTGCTGGGGAGCACACAAGGGGGCCCCCCACACCCCTCCGGCTTGGCAATCAGCCACAGGGGGACCCTGGGTGTTTCCCCCAATCCCAGGAGGTAGCAGTCACTGAACCGGAGGGTTGTTGGAGGGGGCCACCTGCACGCTTCCTGGTGGACCTGGAAGTGGACCGGAAGTGCTTCTGGTCCACTTCTGGGTCTGCTGCTGAGTGTGCTGGGGGCCCCAACATGCTTCTGTGGGACACTCCATCCACCCCAGCATCACAGTATTCATGAGCCCCTGCCACATAGAGATATGTAGAAAAAACATTTAAAACTGTCTTTGTAGTCAAATTGCTGAATCTCTCTGAATTGATTCAGAGGGTTCTGATTCGATTTGGAGAGATTAAAGGGTCCTCTGATTTGATTCAGATTCGGAGATTTGGTCACTGAATCAGGCCAAATCTCTGCTGAATCAAATCGGGGACTGAAGCTTCACACAGCCCTATTAGGCACCCAGTGGAATTGTGTAAGCATCTAACCTGCATTCATTTCAGCTAGGATTAGGCACCAATGTGCTTTAAATATCCCACTAAGTATTTAGGCACCCAAATATTTCTAAAACTCTGGCCCTAAGAATGCTGGCCTCCATTCTTGGCTTTATGGCTGACTGCCTGTGTAAACCTGAGCAAGTCTCTTACCTTTTTTGTACCTTTTGGTTGATTTTCTAAAACAGGGAAAATACCTCACATCACAGGAGAATTGAGCTGTAATTGATACTTTTCAATATGGTTTGAGATCCTTGGATAAAAGGCACTAGAGAAATAGAAGTTTCCATTATTACCATTAGACCTAGCTACCTATGGAGAATCTTGGCTCTGCAGTTGTCTACACATGATGTAAAAGTTTTGTAAGCTGCTAAGAAGTATGCAGTTTCCTGCTGTTAGATCTGAAAGAAAAAGCAGTATAAGTATTCACAATCTTTTTAAACAGGTTTTTTTCTCCTATTTCCCCCCCCATCTATTTTGGAAGTTTCAAAAACTCTTCATAATGTTTTCAAAGATAAGAATATGTCAATGAGCTCCAACTGGGATCACAAGGACTCTTTAACTCATAGAGATATAAAGTCAAAAAGATTATTCTTTATGTCTAAGAATGGGAATTAAATCTTCCTTCCTCTCTAACATTTGGGCCATGGTTTCTCCTCCTTTCTTCTTCCTTCCCTCCGAGTTGTCAAACAATTTTGTTTCTAGTCAGAATCTGTGAAAGCCAGAATATCCCTATCCAAACCTAAAGTGGATGGAAAACCTTCTGCTTTCTCACCTGCAATCATTGGCCATCCTTGAGCCAGTTCTACCTTCACAATTTATGACTGAATTTATTTGCTGTCTCTGTGCTTCTTCTAATTCTTGATCTCTGACACATCTGTCTTGTGCTGCTTCTCTTGGTGCAGCAGGACTAGGTAGGAAAAACTAATTTCCCATGCAGTTAAGGGTGATCCCAGCTGTGAAAAGGCAGGTTGAGATAGATCTGGCTCTGCTTACAAGCCTAGATTTAAAGTGCTTTGGACAGAAACTGTTCCTTTTTCCTGGTTGGGCTGCTTCTCTTAAGTTTCCCAAACACTGAGGAATTGGCTGGGTATTTATGCAGTCAGGATCCATCATTATTTTGGGATTAAACTAGAAACCACTGGTAGAAAATCAGGCATGTTCTACAACTTTAACTTCAGGGTTTAAAACAGAAATGGACTAGCCACTTCATTTGAGTTTTATGTCACTGAGGGAAACAAATCTTTCGAACCCTTTGTAAGAATGGCTGTTTAATTAAAGCTGTCTGTTCATTTTCAGATCAATGAGAAACTGTTTTGGATTTTGTTTTTTTGAAAAAAATCTGCCAAGCAAATTGAGCCTGCTTCTGTAACAAAGAATGAGGCATAAATGAACCTTAAACTCAGTGCTAAAGACTGTCTCTGGTTTCCATATTTTTATTTGATAGCGTTTTAGTGAGAACTATTCAGAATCTAAATCGTACTGGTGCTGTTCTCTTAAGATTCATTTTAAGACTATCAGTCCTTCCTCAACACTTCCATATGATGAGGATGTTCATAAAATGAAATATCACACTTCACCCATGTCCAAAAATAGGTGTTCTGAACAAAGGATGCCATGGAGGTACGTGTTTACAAAGAATGACAACATCCTTGTTCAGGGAGAACTGAGACAGACTGAAATATATTTCACGTTCACTAATATCAAAGGGTGCTCCTGTCAGCACTTAAAACTCTTGAGTGTCTGGCTGGAAAGTCTGGTTTCTGCACTCAGAGTCAAACCAGTTGACATATTTGAGGTCAGGAAGGAATCTCCCCTCACCTCAGAGTGATAAGGACTATTGGAATTTTTTTTTCTTTCCCATCCTTTTTTGAGAATAACCTGAGCATATTTTAGCTCACATTCCCTACCATTGGAGTGGCATGGCATTAGCGGTACCCTTGTCTCTCCTGCCTTACCAAAGAAATGTTATTGGATTTTTTTTTTATATGGTGCTTTATGGCTTTAGGGTGTGAATACTCACAGAGGATGATTTTGTGGACTCTGGACGAATGGTTACCTGTGTATGCAAAAGACTGGACTGGATGGCCTGGGAGGGCCTTTCCATTTCAGTATTCCTATACACATTGTTCAGTCTTTGGTCTGTGTGTTCTTCAGATATTTGAGTGCCATTGATCACCCATGTTGATTGTGCTCGTGTGCTAACCTACTGCTAATATAAGCATTATCAAGCTTAATCTAGGATAACAGTAGCTAGCTAAATATTTTATCTAGGTTTGTTTCCAGGCTCCTTTTTTCCATAGTAGTCACTAGAGCAGCTCATCTTCAGATGTTGCAGCCCTATCCCCCAGTACCACTAACTGCAGGTGGCTGATGATAGACATCTCAGGATTTGATAGTGAAAATATTGTAATTAGATTAAGAGGACCAAACAGCCAAAACTAAAAAAACAAAAAAAAAAGAAAAAGAAACAGAAACCACATTAAAGGAAGTGATAAAAAGGCAGACTAGATAATTGTCAGGGAAACTAAATGTACCAGATGAAAGTGATCAGTCCCTATTCATGTTAAGACTATGAATGAAAAGAGAATTGCAAATGGGAGTTGCATTATACTGGAGAAGCAGTTGGCAACAGACCCTTCTAATTAATATTGGGTAAAAGTTTTATCCAAAGACTCAAATGAGAAAGATCTGTCCTTGGCTTTATTCTGGCTGAGTTTAAGGATAAAAATCAGCTGCTAAAGACATTATCTCAAATAGGCATCAAGGAACTGTTCAATGACCTATCTGTTATACCTTATGTGACTAGATGGGAAATGATCTGTATGCCTTCAGTGTAGAGCATCCCCAATATGATGGATGATATGGATCAACTGATGACCTTTGAACAGTTTCCAAGCCCACTTTAGTTTGGAATCAATAAGTTTTATATTCTCCTTAGAGTAAAAATGCTGTTTAATTCACAGAAAGCTCAATTCAACTGGGATCCGGAGACAGTAGGACTTATACATGGCTCATTTTTCTGGGGTTATATTGTAACACAGATTCCAGGAGGATTCATCTCAAACAAATTAGCTGCTAACCGGTAAGATAAAATAATGAGACAAATCAAACAATTAGTGTGATTGCTTTTTTGCTGTTTAATGGCTGCTGGGATGGGGTCAAACTGCATTGCTTTTGCTGATCTAAGTGCTTATAACTGCCTACGTCCCACTTAGAACATGATTCAGACTGGTCTTGAGATGTCTAAGTACCTAGCTATGGTTAATCCCTAATATTAATTAATAATGCTTATTTATCATGCTAACTTTGCATTGGAGCCTGTATTCTGTTACTAAGTTGTGGGATATATTTTCAGAAAAACAAATACAAATATAACAATGTTCCCCAGACTTTAAATGATATTTTAAACATTACATTTCATGGTGTTTTGTTTTACTTCTTTGTGAAATTAATTCTTTGCTCCTCTTCAATTTATTTTTTTGTAAACAACCACAATCAAATGTAATTGTGATCTAACTGTATTACATAAGTGAATTGGTTTTCTAGGTATATACTGTGCTATTGATGCACAAAGCATAATGTTTCTGTGGCCATATGACTTTCATACTCCTGGTACATGCTCATTTAAAAGCACCATGGGATCTGAGCTCCAATCCCAACAACTGCAATTCCAACTTGCCTGCATGACAGAAGGTATGATTTTAGGATCAGGAATTGGATCCCAATCATGTTCTTTCTACTTGCAAGTGCAGTGGATTATTATCCTGGGCTTTCCCTGCACAGGCCAGTTGAAAGCTGGGTGGCTGCAGCCCTGTGTCCTAGTGTGACCCTGTACAGCCTCAGGGCCAGGGATGACAATAAGCTAATTGTTGGCTCCAGGCCTAGGGCAGCCCCAGACATGCCACATGTACAATTTATGGTGCCATACAAATTACCTGGAAACCTACTCAACATTATGTGTAGAACATTTGTATGGCTGGTTTGCAATTTTATGGTACCTTCTAAAGGGTGTACACATTGCACCTTTGCCATTTTTGCCACCATTAACACATTAATTGCAGTATACATGTAACTTATAGAGGGGCCCTCAGAGTCATTGAGCAGAATGACTATCAGAAGTGGGTTTAGAATTCTGGATCTTTTGAGAAAACTGGGTTTTCAAGAACCTACATTAAAAGGGTATTTCCATTTACAGTAGTAACATTAGAGTTTGTGTGTAAAGATGTGCAATTTTTATGCAACCATATTTTACAATGTCAGTCTACGTGAACTCATCTTCTACCCTCATTTTCTCTTTTAGAAGTCATGAGATGAGCTTGTTAAGACTCTGATCTGGGACTCAAGACATACGGGGTTCTATTTTTTGGCTCCATTACCTATTCTCTTTCTCACTTGGACAAGTCACTTGATCTCCCTGTGCTCCTTCTGTAAAGTGGGGATGATATTTCCTAACTCCTGTCCTTTGCTGATCTTATCTGTTTAGATGGCAAGCTCATTGAAGAAGAGGCTGTCTTGCAGCATGAGATACCTAAGACCCTTTATATTTTGGAGCTGTTGGTTGTAGCCATGTTGGTCTAAGGACATAGACAAACAAGGTTATTTGTGTAAATGTGATATCTTTTATTAGATCAACTGAATAGTTGGAAAAATTCAGTTGGTTTAACAGAAGATAGTACATTTACCCAAATAACCTTGTCTGTCTAAGATCTTTTAGGTACTCAAATAATTTATAATAATAATTTCAGGTTCAAATGCACATCAAAACAGCTGAAAACCATGAATGTAGCCTGGATTTGCATCAAAACTATTCAAAACCACACATTTCCCTTTTTTAACTTGCAAAATACTGCATTAACCCACATTTACAAAGATCACTATTCACTCAAAATATTCACAAACTATTTAATGACATTGTACCTTTTAATTTACCACTCTCTATTAAATGTGTCGGCCTACACTAGGGTACCTTTTTAATTTGTTCATTGTCATATGGTAATAAAGAGACCCAGAATGTGAAGCATATCCTGATACCAGCTTTCAGGAATAGGACACCATTGGTCAATGGAGTCCATCATTTAAGAACTCTGTTCTGATTTCACAGTGACAATTTTGCCAGGGATCAGAATGATGATGAGAAAAGAATACATGAATGAAGTAAAAGAATATTATTATTTTTAGCCCTGGCAGAGACCAATTACTTTTACATAACACATAGTGAACTGCTGGCAGAATGCTTGCTGGTTTTTGATACAGTACTTGTTCTCATAAATAGTAGCAAAACACTGGTTAATTCCATTTCAGTCGCTCTTAAATGGTGTCTTTGGCATACAAAGAAACTGAATGAAATAAAGTAATATGGAATGCAAATTCTGTTATTAATCATGCATGTAACAAAGATCTGGCTTTTTGCCATCTATGGATAATTACTTTTCTTGTTTTTATCTGTATTTTTACATAATACACTGTGCTGCCTACATTATTCCCTAAAATGCATAATATATCTCTCGATGGCAAGAAGTGATGATAATGGAAAATTAAATTAAATGGCAAAACATTTCTCCTGAATGAGATTCGTTCCTAAAGATCCTTGCATGATAATTCATCTCCTTTCTTTTTTGGCACTCCAATTATTAGAGCACTTTCCCTTTTAACTCTGCTCAATTCACTGTTATTTTCACCCTTTCCATCTAACCCCAGCTCATGGCTGCTGTGTTGATCCATTGAGCCCTTCTATAACACATTTTACACCAGTCTGGATTGGGGCTCTCTTATTTTTGATGTTTGTATAGAATTTAGCACAATGCAGACCTTAGTCCTTGAATGGGGTTGCAGACACTACTGTAATAGTAATAATTGTTAGTAATAGTAATAATAAATATATTATTTCAGGCTTCAAAAAGCCAAGATTCATATTTTTACCTGGGAATGAAATTACCAGAGGGAGACTGTAATGTAAAAGTACCAATATCCTTGTAAAAAGAAATATGTAATAATAAAGTATGTAATAATAGCCCAAGAAATGAAAAGTGATTTCAACATTTTAAATGTTTGTTAAGAGGTGGTCAATAACTAGTTATGTATATCAAGACCTGTTGAAGTATCTGGCAGAAAAACTTTAGGGAGGATAAGTTGCTCAAAATGACAATTTCAGGTGAAAATCTATAGGGGAAATAAAAGCCCCAAACCTTTCAATTAGAGAGAGACTCTCATGTATCTTTTTCAAACAAGAAGTCAATCACATACTCAAGCCAGTTAGAATGGTTAGGCTTCTATCAAATATGCTGTAGGGGCAAGATGGCTGTTAGATAATGAGTAGCAAAATTTCTGGCATCGTCATAAATAGAAATTTGGGGCAGTCAAAGCAGGTCTCCTTTAGTCTTTGGCTGAGTCTCTGCTACCCTGTGTCTTAGATCAAGTTAACATAACCTGAAGGCTGCTCTAACATTTGCAATTGGTGAAAGTCTCCAGGAGATCTCTTGACCAAAGCCATAGCTGTATGTGCTGTATAGCACTGGGACCAGGTACTCCAATTCTATGCCTGCCGACAACTTGGGTTTTCAAATGGGCAACTATGTACTGTAACTTTAAATGTACCATGGCACTGGAGATTGGCAAACATTCAGTTTGTTCCAAGTAGGAAATGATGGTCTTGTGGTTCAGTTCAAGATACGTTATTTTCCATGTCTATTGTTACTGTCATTTATTATGTATATGGTGCAGTAAATGTGCACTGCTCTTTACTTAAACTCAAAAAGAAAAGATCAGGCCCCTGCTTGAAAGAACTCACAGTCAGACTTAGGTGAATGCTGGGTTAGATTATCCTTGAACTCTTCTTTAAAAAATGCCTTGACACCCATCTTGCTGGGGTCATTTGATCCCAGCAGTCTTTCCTGCCCATGTGCAGGGAGTCTGGACCCAATGATCTGTAAAGTCCCGTCCAGCCCCTAACAACTATGAAACTATTAATGTTGACTACTCAAGAATATTGCTCATATTTGTAGACACTCTCCCTTGTAGCAATTGCTTATATAGAAAAATCACATTAGGAAATTAATACAATTTCAACTGTTTTCTAAAGCAAGTTAGCATCTAGAAATCAAAACAGCCAACATTATCCTCGCTTTAGGAAAGCACTTAAACAAATACTTAACATTAAACAGATGCTAAAATCTTGATTTCAGTAAGATGTAAGCATATACTTAAGCTCTCTCTTGGATAAGGAAGATTTCTTAAATCATGCCCTATGTAACCATCTCCTTCATGACAAACCTCTAGCATTTGGTCTGAGGACTCCAGTTTGAGAACTGCTGATGTAGAAGTAAAAACAATAGTCTTCTTTTGTACCATTTAAAAAGTGTATGTGAAGCTCCTGTTCTATGCAGAGAAGAATAGTTGTATGCATTAGGGGACCTAACTTAAGGTTGGAATCAACCTGACTGTTGTAACTGTTGCCTTCATAGTCAGGACTGAATTTGACTCAGTGCAGACTCCTTTTCAAATATAGCATGACATTATTCCAGTGTCCCCTTGGTCAGGTGAACGATAATTATATCCACATTCATGTTGCTTTTTCCCACAGGGTATTTGGAGCAGCTATTTTCCTAACATCTACACTGAATATGTTCATCCCTTCTGCAGCAAGAGTTCATTATGGCTGTGTTATGTTTGTAAGAATTCTACAAGGTCTTGTCGAGGTAGGTGCACCTAGCATTTGGGGCTGATAATAGTCATTAGTTTTTGAAAGTTCATTTTTGTAATGTCAGCAAATGATGAATTCAGGTTTTCTAAATAATCCACATTTAATTATTTTTCATGCAGAAGTAGTATATAATGAGTATTTTTATTAGGAAATGGCTGTTTTTGGAACATTTGTTATGCTTTTAGGATGAGGATTTTTGAATTATGCTGATTTACATGTTTCAGTTAGTCTTAGATATAAAATAAAAACACCAGGTTTATGTAAATGAAAGTACATCTATTGCATTTAATTATATCATTCACTGTACACACTGAATAGCAAATAACATTTTCGCCAGGGCACCTTATCACTTTTGTGCTGCTTCAAAAAACTTCACAGTCATTGTACACAACCAGCAAAGATCCTCATCTTTCTCAACTCTTTCCACACCTCCTCCCAATGTTGACAAGTAATTAAACTGTTTGAAATTAACAGCCTTTGTCTATAGTAAAAGTGAAATAAAATAACATCCTGTGATGTGTATGTGAAATATCTGCTAGGGTGTGACCTACCCAGCATGCCATGGGATGTGGAGTAAATGGGCCCCTCCACTGGAGAGAAGCAGGCTTGCGACCACATCATTTTGTGGTAAGTCTACAGATATCTAGATTTTCTAACCCTGTGTTTGCACTTCATTTGTATTTCATGTTAGAAATTTTTTATTCTATTACCACTTTATAAAAAAGATGTAACTTGAAAGTGAAATGTAAACCTCCTAAGTATTGACATGAAATTGAGTTGGGAGGTGAGGAAACTCTGATAGTGAGTGTGTCATAGAATCATAGAAAAATGGAGCTGGAAGGAACCTCAGGAGGTTATCTAGTCCAACCCCCTCTGCATCTCTATATAAAGCATCCGATCCATTTCCCAACGGTGGAAAGTCCACAACTTAAGTAGTCTGTTTCACTGCTTAGCCATCCTTATACTTAGAAAGTTTTTTTTTCTAATATCCAACCTAAATTTCCCTTGTTACAGTTTAAGATGCTTATTTTTTGTAGTGTTCCCTGTGTCCACTGGGAATAGTCTATCTCCATCCTATTTCTAACTACCCCTCAGGTGTTTGAAGATGGTTCTTAGTCCCCCCACAATCTTCTCTTCTCCAGACTAAATAATTTGAGTTCTTTCAGCCTTTCTTTGTAAGTACATTGCCAGATCTATAATAATTTTTGTTGCTTTCCACTGGACTTTTTCTAGTTTATCTGCATAGCTTTCGAAAAATAGTGACTAAAACTGGACACAGTTTTCCAGGTGAGGACTTAACAGATTACTTGAGTTTTTCCCATCACCCATGCTGCTTCAGTTTGCTTTACAAGGCGTTCATGCCTGTACCTTACTAGCTTGTTGTAACTGCTCTGTCCTTTTGGTACCCATCCCACCGTTCCCAGAATACCTCTTTGGAGAAATAATTTATGGGAAATTGCAGAAGGCTGCCACAGAAGGAGTCCAGCAGAGGAGGTTAAATTTCCATGAATCTCCCTGGAGCTCTTTGAAGTTATGATTGGACTGACACCATCTCACAGAGTTTTAGCATAATGGACAGCAAGCTGAGTGCTCCAACTTCACTCCTTACTAGACAAGAAGCATTCCTTCTTTTCTCCTATCCTCCGGGAAGGGGCTGACCAAGTTTAGCAGGCCACTGTCCCCTTTGAATGTTGTGGATCACCCTGTTTTATTTTGGAAAAGTAAATAAATATGACTGGAAAATTTAGGAAACCACAATTCCAAATACATTCCAGATGTCTCTGATCATGTTTTTTGCATTTCGTTTAGTTATTTCTTCAAAAGTAAGTGAGAAACATGTCAACTAGTCACCAAACTGTGCGTTGAGTAGTGACAGATAGAAGTATTTGCTAATAAATTATTCCAAGGAGGGTTGGAGTAACATGCTCTCTGTGTGTCTGATAATAACTCCTACTTTGGTTATTTTATTAACAAAGTAGTAGGAACTAGTGCCAAATGAACAGTGAACAACTGAATCTACTTACCTCTTGGAATAATTCATTAGCAATCTTTCTCATTTGTGACACCAAACTCTACTTGAGTTCTCGATAGTATCTCAATGGAGCTTCCTTATCCTTATACTTACATGGGCATGTCTTTTGCCAGGCCACTAACAAATATGCAGCACACCACTCCTATTCTGGAGCCTATGCACATTGTACTTGTGTTGCTTTGGCCATGTTGAAAATTGACCATTTATTCTAGATGCTTGTTCATGTTGTTAATGTCAGTAGTTCTCAGGGACATGCTAACATGCTACCTATGTTTATAAAACAGGAAAAAGTGGAATTGCATCTTGGGGAATTGTAGGCTGGTCACCCTGACTTCAAAACCTGGGAAATAACTAAAGCAAATTTATAAAACGGTCAATTTGTAAACATCTGTAGGAGAAAGGGATGATCACTAGGAGTTATCATGGGTTTGTTAAGAATAAATTATGCCAAACCGACTTGATTCTCTGTCCCTCTCAAACCCTTTTTTGGTAAGGTAACTAATTTTATGGCTGAGGTGAATGTGGGCATAATATAATTGAACTTAAGCAAGGCTTTTCATACAGTCCCATGTGACCTTCTCATAAGTGAATGGAAATGTGGGCAAAATGGAATTCATGTTAGAAGGATATATAATTGGTTGAATAACCACAAGCAAAGAGTAACTACACATGGACCAATGTCAGAGTGGCTGGATGTTTCAAGTTGGGTTCCAAAGGGGTTTTTTCTTGGCTTGGTGCTGTTAGCATTTTTATTAATATTTGGGATGCAGGGATAGAGAGTATACTGATCATGTTTGCAAATGACACAAAAATGGAAGAATAGAATTGGAATTCAAAAGTATCTTGAAAATGGGGAGCACTGGGTTACAGACAACAGAATGAAATTCAGCAAAAGATAAAGCAATATGAGACACCCCAGGAAGGCAAACTTAGATGTGTACATCCAGGATCGGGGATAACTGGCTAGACAGTAGTATGGCTAAGAAGGGTTTTGGTTGATCACAACTTTGACATGAGTCAGAGATATTATGCTATTGCAAAAGAAAGCAAATGTAATTTTGGTACATTAAAAGAGGTAAACCATGCAAAATATGGAGGGAGATAGTACCACTTTACTCACCACTGCTTAGGTCTTAGCAGGAGTATTGTGAGCAGTATTGGACACTGTATTTTAAGGATGTAGGGAAACTGGAAATGTTCCAGAATTAAGCAAGAAAGGTAATAAAGAAGTTGGAATAGAAGCTGTATGAAAAAAGGTTGAGAGAGCTAAGTATTTTCCATTGGGAGAAAAGGAAACTAAGGGGGGCAGGGAGGTGAAATGATACCAGTTTTCAACCATGAAAGGCTGTTCATGGAACAGTGAAAAACAGTTCATGCTAGTGGGCAGCATAGGAGGCACAGGGTTGCAACTGAAGCAAAGGAGGTTTAGTACACCTCAGGGAATTATGTTCAGAAAAATTCAATACTATGAATAATTACTTTTTCCCCTTACAAATTAAACTAAATATAACACTATTTGAACAGTCTTTAGAAATATATGCAGGTACTTTGTATGGTTGGGGGGGTCGGTGTGGAGAGGTGTGTGGGATTTGTGGAGGGATGTGTGTGGTGGGGTTTGTGCAGGGTGTGGATATGGGAGTATGTGAGGTTTGTAGGGGGTATGAGTATGAGAGTGTGTGGGGTTTGTGGGTGGGTGTAGGGCCCCCTGCTACACATCGCCCCCATGGTGCACAGACCACACTGCAGCAGTAGGATCCAGGGGTGTGGCAGGCAGAGCCCCTGGCAGTGCATGGCTCCAGCTGAGTCCCAGGAGCTGCACATGGTGGTACGCAGCTGCCCAGCCTGCTGGCACACACCTTCATACCAAAGCAGACTGGCTCTGTGCCAGCACGTGGGGCTCGTGGCACTGCAGGCAGGGGCAATGCACCATCAGGCTGGGCAGGCTCTGCGTCTCCACGTGCAGCTTCCAGCTGGAGTGCTGGAAGGCCCGTATGGAGGCATGGAGTCCCCCCGTCCACCCCCACCCCCAGCCCAATGGCATACAGACCAGGAGCCACACGCCATCAGGCTGGGTGGGCTACATGTCTCCATGTGGGGCTTCCAACACTCCAGTGGGAGGCTGCACGTGGAGGCACGGAGTTGCCTGCCATCAGGCTGGGCTGGCTCTGTGCCTCCACACGTGGTTTCCTGCTGGAATTCTGGAAGCCCTATGTGGAGGCACAAAACTGGCCAGCCCAGGCCAAAAGCATGCAACCCACACCCACCAACACACTCCCATGCCTGCCCCCCCACACAGGAAGGAGCTCCCTTTCCTACTTACCAGGTGTCCAGTTGTGTGCCATTGCGCTCAGTGCCTCCATATGGGGCTCCCGCCTGGAGTGCTGGGAGGCCTCTGGAGGTGGAGGCACAGAGCCTGCCAGGGTTAAATTATGCAAAATGATGCAATTATGTGCAGCTGTGCCTTTTATACACAAACTTACATGGGCATATAATTCCCCAGGGTGTAGTTTAAATAAAATCATGGGAAAAACTCCCTACCTGTAAGGATGATAGGACAATGGAACAAACTACAGAAAGTTATGGAATTTCCTTCATTGGAAGTTTTCAAGAAGAGGCTGGATAAGCAGCTGTCTGGGACGTTTAGGCAATAACGCATCCTGTTTCTGATTTTCATTCTCCCAGCCATCTGATTTTTTGATGTTGGGAAGACAATGCAGAGATAAACGTAGCCACTGCAGGTCTAAATGAGGACTCTGCTGTTTACAGCGTTAGAGTTTTTCAGATTGCACAATGATAGAAGACTTTTTCAGTATAAGTACAGCCAATATGCTCGTTCACTTCTTAATACTTCTTAACATTGTACTATTAACTTTTCTGTAGCTCATTTCCTCCATATGTGTACTGGGGATAATACATTTTTTACCTATTTCAGTAGATGCTGCTACATAGTAATCTCTTTATGTTTTTGTTCAAACCTAAACTTTGGGATCCTGGGCTTCAATACATGTTGTATTTGTTCAAATTCTTCCATACATGAATCACATAACATAGCTGATATGCTTTTCTACTCCTTTTGGTCTTCAGGTTCTTATGCAGGTGCAGTGGTGGCCATGCCATTGGCAGGGGTATTGGTACAGTATATAGGATGGTCATCAGTCTTTTATATTTATGGTGAGTTATGTAGTTTAAAAATAAAACCCACTCAATTGGATTGATATTGTAAATACTATGGTTTAAATCAACTTTATAAAATATTGATCAAAGTAGTTCAGATTTTGAAAAAATTAGTGTATTTTTCCTAGTAGGTTTGGACTGTTGTTGTAGCCATGATAGGCAAGGAAATGTATGAGAAGCAAGGTTTATTGGTAATAGCTTTTATTGAACCAACTGTAGAGTTCAGAGAGATGTTGGACAAGTTTTTGGGTAGAAATTATCACAAAACCCTTTGTTTATGATATATATTTACTTGTTTTAAGCTTGCTCTTAACTTACCGAATATCCAATATGTATTAATAGAATACCATGGTAATCTGTTGCAAATGCTTTTACACTGTAATGATCTAACTGTACAATACAGGGTTAAATATTCGCTGCCCTTAGTCCATTTCAGAGGTGGAATCATTTGTACAGAGCTTGCCTCAGAATTTGCCATCAGGATCTGCTTGCTCTACTTGTTTCTATACCATACCTATTTTTGACAAGCAGATCCTAAGTACAGTTAAATTTCTGCTTCCTCCTTTTCTTTGGGTAAATAATTGCAGCATGTTGATAAGATATTTAGATGCCCTATACGACTATAGGGCAATATAACTACACATCTGTCTTTTTTTCCATGGTTACCTATGCAGATTTCATGTCAGAATTTGATTTGATTTTGGTTGTTGGATAAATGCTGATCTCTAGTATTAAATGTTTAAGCATTGCCTATTAGATTTTGAAATCAAATCTTTCTACCCCTACAGGAATGTTTGGGATTGTTTGGTACATGTTCTGGCTCTTGCATGCCTATGAAAGTCCTGCAGCACATCCAACTATAACTAATGAAGAAAGGACATACATAGAAACAAGTATAGGTGAAGGAGCTGGCTTAGTTAATGCAAGTGTAAGTAGAATTTGCCAGGGATGGAGAATATCTAGACTTTGATGATGATTGTCATTTATAGTAACTTTGCATGAGCTCAGTGATAGATGTACTATTTAGAACTTTGATGGACCTTTGGATCTCAGTGGGAGGATTTTTTTCTGTAAGGACTGCAGGAATTGCCCCATTCATTCAAATATGGAAACCTAATCCACTTGCACAATTCAGTGTCTTTTCAGCTCTAGGGTCCTAATCATACCTAAACTTAAGGAGACACATTATGATCTCACATGTAAGCAATCCTACTAACTTAACAAAAAAGGATGTCAGTGGAGCTATCTGGACCAGGGACTGACTCCAGAGGTTCCTTTTTCTGCCTACACCTTCTATTAATGTCATAGAAGTTCTTTTTGCAGTCAGGAGTGCCCTCCTGCTCAATTCTCTTCTCCCTGAGACCCATTGTTGACACAGTCTAGACAAATCCTAAATCTTCCAATTTTTTAAAACTGTACACCATTTTTAGTTTTGTTACTAGTAACACCTTGGAAACCTAAGACCAAAATTCATACTGCAATCAACCTAGCTCCCTCCGTTTATAACAGAAGTTATTTCTTGATAACCTTTTTCTTCCTGGTTTCTGTTACTGAGCAGTTGTAACAAACTAACCCAAACTTGCTTTTGCATCTCAGGGATTTGGTTAAAAATCATAGGCTAGATACAGACATTCAAAAAGCCCACGGCAGAATCAGTCCAATGTATATGGGTATCTCTAAGCTGCATAGATTGGATCAAGAATGATGGGAACATATGTTTGCCTTATGGTGGGGAGAGGCAAGTAGATACCTGCACCGGCCGAGGCCAGAAGGCAGGGAGCACTGCCATACACCTCCCAAAGTACTGGAGATTGCCAAGGGCAGCCAAGCACATCCAAGTGGGGGCCATCCCTGATTGCCTGCCAGCACCCCCTCCCCCCCCAAACCCCTGCTGTCAGCTTCAGGGAGGGTGGGAAGCCAGCACAAAATCTCTCCCTAGCCTTGCCCTCCCCTGCTAGTGGTTGCCTGCCAGTGGTGGTGGTGGGGGGAGTGGAGGCCCCTGCTGTGCAGATCTGCTCCCCCCACACCCAGCCAGAACAGCTGGGGGGAAGGTGGGGGGGGAGCTGCACAGTGAGGGGTTCCGTTCCCCACGCCTTCCCCCACCTGCCTGACATCTTTGGGCAGGAGCCACGGCTTGGAGCCACATGACAGTCCTGTGCCAGAACTGGGGGCAGGGGGTGGGGGAATGAGGGCCTCCAACTTGCTGACTTGGGTATGGGCATGCCAGGCCAGGTCTGTATGGCAGGGGCTCTGCTCCTACCCTGCCACCACCAGTTCCTGGAGCAATGGACAACTGTGTGGCTCTGAGCTGCAGTTCCTGGCTGCAGCTCTCAGGTGGGTGGGCAGGGGGAGAGGAGTTGGGGAATGGAGTACCCCACCACATGCGCCCCAGCCTACTGGCTCAGGTCTGGGGGGCTGCATCTCCCCCTGCATCCACTCAACCACCTGACAGCTGCAGGCAGGAGCCATGAATCAAAGCTGCATGGCTGTCTGCTGCACTGGGAACTGGGGGTGGGATGGGGGAACAGAGAACCTGCCACATGGGCTCTCCCAGCTTGCTGGCTCAAGTCTGGGGGGGCGGGGGGAGATCCGTTCCCTCCCTCCCTCCGACCCCTAGTTCCTGGCCTGACAGGAGCCATGCAGCTGTCTGCTGCACTGGGAACTAGGGGGGAGAAGGGAGTGGACCTCCTGCTGTGTGGATTTGGCCTGACCCTCTCCAGACCTGAGCCAGCAAGCTGGAGGGGTTCACATGGTGGGGGACTCCGTTCCCCCCATCCCCAGTTCCTGGTGCAGCAGACAGCTGTGCAGCTTTGAGTCACAGCTCCTGCCTGCAGCGGTCAGGTGGGGGGTGGGGAATAGAGCCCCCCCCTGCCACATGGTCCCCCCAGCTGTTCTAGCTTGGGAAGGTGGCCTTTGCTTTCCTCCCATTCCCCTGGTGACAGCTGGCACCGGGGCAGGGCTGTGGAGAGAAGCTATGCTGGTCAGGCAGCAGGAGAGGGAGGAAGCCCCTACCACATGCCCCCCCCCCCAGCTATACTGGCTGCTGGGGGGGGCAAGGTTTGTGGGGCCCCCTGCCCCACCCAGCCCCAGTGACAAGTGCAGGAAGGGAGCCTAGGGAGCAGAGGCTTTGCTACCCCAGCTTTGTGACTGTGTAGAGATGGGTCCAGTCCTGTGAGGGGGAGTTAGTGGGGAAACCAAAAGGGCTGCTGGGATGCTGGGGGACTGCAACCTAACTTGAGTCAGGAGGGCATCTGGGACAGAAGTTTGATAGACCAGTCTAATCTAAACCAATTAAATCTGATACTACTTCTATCCAGGTCATTTTTAAACTGGTCTATGGGTGTTGAACTTCTGGTCTGTTACAATTTTAGATCAGTTTCTGACCACCTAAACCAGAAAAAGTGTAATGTCTGCACTTGGCCATAGTGACTGGATAATGTTAGTCACCTTTGGATATGCACACTTTCAGTTACACATGATGTCAAATACCACAATTTCTCCCTTAAGATGCAAGGCTTAACACTAATGGTCCAAGCCTATATACAATCATGTGGAAGTCACACACCAGGCTTTAGCAAGAAGACTGAACAGGTACATAAGATAGATGCCATTTTAAAAAGAAGAAAGAGATATTTCTGGATTATAGTAGTTTTTCTTTTGGCTGAGTTTTGTTATGAGCCAGGCATGGTTTTGAAGTAATTTTGTTTCCTGCAGTATAGATTTTTGAAGCATAAATAGGAACCACATGCGAGTAAATTTTTTATCTTCTACCAAGGACTTCTTTTATTCACATCACAATTTAAATTAACTTGGCACCCTTCAGTCACTTAGGGCACCTACACATGTACCTGATGCCTGCTCAGATGCATACTGATTAGCACACGTCAGAGCAGACTGGTGGCATGCTTCAGCAGTTTCAGCATCTTGTGTATTCAGTGTCCCTGTGCTTCAAAATGCTGGTGGGAGCATCTGAGAGCCTCTGCCTGCCCTCACCCCAGAGGTGTACAGACACCCTTAGTTACCTCATGCCTGACTGCCCAGAGGTAGCTGAACACACTTTTTCAAAATATGGTCAGTATGGAAGTCATCAGATTGAATCCTACCAGAAAGTGTGGAATCTATTAATTTTCCCTCAAGTTACTTTATCATACTATTTTTGGGGTCCCAGAGCACCAAAAAAATATTGCTGATAGAACTGTAACATACAGAACAATAGTTGAATAGCTGAAAAACCTTCTCTCAAATGCAAATCCAGTAGCTGTTTCTACTTGCTTGCACCAAAGCAAGCCAGTAGGAACTCCACTGACATTAATGGACTTTGCACTGGGATAAAATTAAAAGAAAATCAAGCTCTCTGGTATGGTCCTTGTTTTTACCTATACAAAAAAGTCTTTAATTTTGTCTTTTTCTTTCTTTCTTTCTTTCTTTCTTTCTTTCTTTCTTTCTTTTATTTTTTTTTATTTTTATTTTTATTTTTTTTTTATTTTATTTTATTTTATTTATTTTTTTTAGAGATTTAGTACTCCCTGGAAAAAGTTTTTCACTTCAATGCCAGTTTATGCAATCATTGTGGCAAACTTTTGTAGAAGCTGGACCTTCTATTTGCTGCTTATAAGTCAGCCTGCTTACTTTGAAGAGGTCTTTGGATTTGCAATAAGTAAGGTAAATATGGGACTTGAACCTCTTGTGGTTTGAGATTGATCTCATTTGGTGCTGAGTCCCCAACTCCTGTTGAAACAAGGGTAGAAGATACTTCATGTCAGTGGGCAGGATTGGGCTCTTCTAGTATTCTTGAATCTTAAAGATAATTTCTGATAGCAAATGCCACTTGATTAGCATAAAATTATAAGCAGAAACAAAGAACTAAAAAAGACCAACTTTTTTAAGAAAGAGCCTATCAGTAAAAAAAAAGAAAAAAAAAAAAAAGAAAAAAATAGAATCACCTTATTGAAAACACATACATAAAATGAACATAAGCACACATGTAATTATTAGTAGGAGCTTTGTTGTATACTCATAAAATAATTTTCATTCAAATTCTCCTTTTTCTAATTGCACAGCAAGTATTAGAAACCCCCAGATTAAATTCTAGGTTGATGGACGATTTATGCAAAAACTCATAGGACTGCACAAGGTCAGAATTTGGAGGAGGACTGAAAAGTAACTGTTCCAGAAGAACTTTAATCCAACTAGTTTCTAAAGCCACAGTTTATATTAAAAAAAATAAATTTTGAAAACAAGTGTAATCCTGAAAAATAATCAACTTATCTGAGGCCAAAATGAGCACTGCTTTCTTTGCGATTGGTTCATTCCTGTTGCCAGTTCAGCAATGGTAGCCACAACCTTATGGGTATATGCTGATTCTGTCCTTGGCACAGGTGCTGTAAAGAATAAGTAGCTTTGTTTATTTGAATTTTGCCTGTCATTCCAGACCAACATATGCACCCACACAGGAGTAGATTTGCGGGAGGGAAGTGTAGTAGTGGTTTCACCAGCCCCCAGAATGGCAACTCCTATAAGACAGATAGTTAAAAATCTCCCATTTTAATATTCATATTTCAAAAATACATTCTACAGGGAGAATATTGCTGAACAAACGATAAAGAAAATGAGGGAAGACATTAGCTTACACACAGCTGTTTGTCTAATTTCAGGTTGGCCTTTTGTCTGCGGTTCCTCATATGGTCATGACAATTATTGTACCCATTGGAGGGCAGCTAGCTGACTTGTTACGAAGTAGGAAGATTTTAACCACTACCACTGTAAGAAAAGTCATGAATTGTGGAGGTACTGTTGAATTCTGTAGATATGTCATATTAATACACTGAAATCTAGGTGAAGATCACATCTTCGTTCACACTTAACTGTAATAAGAGACAACTTAATTGTATTCCTTCCGAATCCAGTCTTTATAGATGCAATGCTGTTAGATCTTCTTCTTCTGGAAGTCTTTAGTCATGTGGTTAGTCCTTACTGGAAACTTGTAGATACGTAAGACTATTAACTATGGTCTCTAGAAAATCTTTTCCCCTTTAGATATAGTTTTTCATAAAGGTTCCTCTGGAGTGTCTGTACATTTTCAACAAAAGTAGCTGGCACCTGAAAGCAATGCAGAATTTCTCAGTTGAATATTCACAGGAAAAAAAAACCCAACAGAAAAGCTGCAGTATTCCAGCTTTTTCATTATTATTTTTAACTTGTAAAAATTATGCATTGTTAGCTAAATTTATTTCCAGTCAACTAAACACCTGAAGGTAAGAACAATAAACAAGAATGGTAAAATAAACAAATATTTTTTTCACTAAAAATACATTTTTAGGGGTGTTTAGTTTTTCTAGTGAGAGATGAAAAAAATTGATGTCATGGGCCTTGAAACTATTTTGGTCTGGGAGTTCTTTTGTTTCTATCCTAATATGCAAAGTACAATGTGGATGATGTAAATGAAGATTTTTGTTTGTCTCGGGGAGGTCTGAATTTGCCCTTACATCTTTAGGGAGCACTCTTAAAATAACTGATCATTGGAAGCTGCTTCTGTTCCACCAATACTTGAGGCAGATGAAGAATTGTTATGTCACAAGTTGAAAAACACTAATTCTTAACAAAGGTAGATGTTAGTTTCTGGAAGTTCCTTCAAGCAGGTTGGCACTGGGCCTTGTTGCACCTTATGCTGTGAACTACACAAATGTTGTTTGGTGTAGCCTGGAGTTTGGAGCAGTCACACTCTTAGTCTAGAAACCTCATCAGACTGGCCCCCACCTGCACAGCTGTGACTTGCTACTAGAGGCCTGGTCAGCAGGGGCAGGACTAGGAGCTGGAGCTGTGAGTTGCCACTAGAGGGCTGGTGAGCCAGCACAGACTTCTCTCCCTGCTCTATCGATGCAAGAGATCCTGGGATACTGGAGGACTTCAACTTGGGCAGCACCTCTGTGAGAAGTGACCAAATCTTAATGAAACAGGAGCTGGGTAGTGTGAATCGGGGAAAAACCTGCCCTGGCTTGGTGGAACTTTGAGCTGCATAACGAGTGCTTAAAACCGCTTTAAGGTGTTAGTGTGTGGACCAGGGGTGGGCAATTATTTTGGGTGGAGGGCCACTTACTGAGTTTTGGCAAGCCATTGAGGGCTGCATGACAGGCAGCCAAGGGCATATAGATATTAATTTTCTAAATTTTTACGGGCCCTGCGGGCCAGATAGAATGGCCTGGTGGACCACGTCTGGCCTGTGGGCTGCATTCTGCCCACCCCTGGTGTGGACAGTCCTGGGGTTAAGAGCTCCAGGAGCTGCCCCAAATTACTTTATAACAATTAGAAACTTGCGCCACTCAGAGGTGTATAAGCTGTCAATGGATTTCAGAGAGATGGGGCACTAAGTAGAAAAGAATAAAGTAATTTAAATACTATACTAAGGATAAGAAAGGGGAAGTTTCTTGTGATACTTGATGATTTATTAATATTAGTGTCACTCTTCTGTCTGAAAAATATTCATTTGCTGCTGTTATGAAGAACATTTCAGAACACTATCACTGAGAGGCATTAGAGGAGTGAGGTTTTCTCCCCCTTTTTTTTAATTTCACATTTGACAGCTCTTTGAACATAGGTACTTTTGCAGTTCCCTTTGTATAATCTGGGGATTAGTTTCCCTTATTGGTTGTTTGTGTCTTTCATATAACAGTAGGGAAAACACAAGGAATTAAAAAAACCCACCTACACAAACCCTGAATATTAAAATGTTATTGCAAGCCCACAACAAATGGGAACTGGATTCAGTGGTAGCTATGCATGGAGGCAATTCACTCTTTTAGCTCATTAGGCTTTCTTGTCTCTTTAATCAATATATTGTATAGACTTAAATTTGTTTCTGTGTTTCATTTGCAGGTTTTGGCATGGAAGCAACTTTGCTTTTGGTAGTTGGTTTCTCTCATACAAAAGGTGTGGCTATCTCCTTTTTGGTGCTGGCAGTAGGATTTAGCGGCTTTGCTATTTCAGGTAAAACTGCCTGATAATTTTTTCTCATTGGATTGGTTGTGGCAGTTATGGCTGCTTGTGGGGAGTTCCTATTTCCTGCCACAACATACTGATAATTGTAGTTGCTGTATAATAAATTGTACAAGAGGTAGAGTTTGTGAAGATCTGAATCTTTCACCCTTAGTTTACAATATTGTCATACTCTTCATACTACAATATACATTTATCTAAGAATAATAATTTGCTCTCATTTATTATATTAACTCTAACAGAATACAGAATAGCCCATCATTCAGAGCTTCCATAACTCTGATACTTGTAGAGAGTCTTTGAATTCCTCTGAGCTGCCTGTTCCTAGCTGTCAGTTTTTTCCTTGCCCTAACTTCATGGGCACATCTAGTAGCCAACTGAGCTCTGCAGCTGTTTGGACACTATTGCTATTAAAATGTTGACCTGCAAATGGCCCCAGTTCTCATTCCTTCAGTACAGGAGCCAATAATGCATCCATGGGGAAAAAATGTCTTGGTACCACTAGCAGAAGGTCTGGAGCATAGGATTTCCAGGTACTAGCCCCTAGCAGATGTGCAGTTAAAGGTGCAATGGGATCTGATGCGTGATCCCCACAATTTCATTTCCTGCCATGCCACACATGCTTAGCAGGAGGCATGATTATGGGATTAAGAATGAGATCCCATCACACCATATTCCTGGTTTAGGAGGAGCCTGGTGTCCTGATCCTGGCCTCCCCCTACACCAGCAAGTAGCAAGCTCTTGTGGCTGGGAGCCCTGGTCAGCTGATGAGGCTACTAGCTTCAGGGGCACAGTGGAGCCTTTGACTTGAGCTGTGTCCCAGAGCCCTGATCTGCTGTTGCTTCCAGCTGAGGGGCATATTGGTGTTAAGGGCTCTGACAGGCCCCTGAAGCTGGGAGTGGCAGCTGATTGTGACTCCCAGCCTCAGGGGCACATCAGAGCCTTTGACTCCAATGGGCCCCAAGGCTGGGAGCAGCAATCAGCTGATTGGCACTCTCAGCCTTGGGAGTGAACGGAGTCAAGGGCTCCCATGAGCTCTGGAGACTGATACGCTCTCAGCCTGGGCACACGTTCAAATAATGGCGAGATAGGAGCCAGCTGTAAAGTTATTAGACATATTCTGTGTAATAACTGTGTGGCTTATTCCTTCTTTTAAGACTGCATTCAGTTATCAAGCCACATTAATATGTGGCTTGGTAACTGCTTAAAATGTGATTAAGTGGTTAATCACATCTTAGGCGTGACATGCTGGGGGCCACAATGAGTTTTCTTGAGATGAGGTTTTGTTTTGGTTATTATTCAACCATTCAAGGTCACAATATCCTTAGATTGTGAGAAAAAATTGCTTGAAATTTACATGGCTTCCTGTAGTTTTCTGTAGCACATATGTATATTCTGCAGAGAAATATGTAGCCCATATGTATAGCCATTTTAATCTGTGGTATTACTATAGTTGATAACCACTTTAATTGCTGTTTTAATTTCTGACACATTCTTATATATTTATCTGATAGAAATCTACAGCAAGTATAATCTATCTTGCTACTTGTTTATGTTCTGGTGCCTGTTATTTTGGTAAATTGTCACTAGACCATGTGAGAGAGAGATTTCTGAAAAATGGTCCCTACGTTAAGGGATAGAAGAAAATCGAAATTATGCAGTATTAATTCTTTAAGTAAAAAATCAGTTTAGAGTGCACATTTCGTAGGAGAGGAGACCAGAAGCACTGATGCTTGAATTGATCAAGTAGTCAAATTAAGCCATACCATGTTTCTTCTTTGGTATGATGCCCCAAAGGTATAGGTGCAAAGGTTTAAAGAAGAGGGAAATGGGATAAAGGAATGAAGCTCAGCTTACTTTGCTAATAACAGCAAAAGAACAGTTTTCCCTTTCCCCCATTCTTTCTCTAACTACATCACACATGTTGCTCTTGTTTGTACAGGGTTTAATGTCAACCATTTAGATATTGCTCCCCGATATGCCAGCATTCTCATGGGGATCTCCAATGGAGTGGGGACACTGTCAGGAATGGTGTGTCCACTCATTGTTGGTGCGATGACTAAACACAAGGTAAAGCATCCTTACATGTTTCTAGAAAGGACTGAATGGCATATAAGAATACAACCATTTCAGAGATTTATGAAAATCTAATTCTTTCCCTGTCTTTTCTTGATCTTCAGGTAAAAGGTAGGGGGCAAATCCTTAATTGGTGTCACTGTGTGAACATTTGTCACTAAAATTCCACAAGAGCACTGGGTTAGGGCTATATTATGCCCCTTGCTGAAAGCCTAGGAGCCATTTGGAAAATACCCCATGTTAAAAGTGAGATCTATTTGGGAAATTCTCTGCAGCGTAATGTAAAGTGTTTTCAAAGTCATTACTGGTCTAAGGTGGGTTTTGCCACCTCACAGGAACACCTAAGGTAGAGGCTGTAGCCTTCTAACTCCAGGAGAGCTCTATATTCTGCAGAGAAATCCCACTGGGAGGAGAAAAATCCCATCTGATATTTTATTAGTTATAATGGAGGAAAAATAAATATCCTTTACAATTATTTTCTTAAAATATTTTGTCTACAAAATGAGAAATCAGACAGTAATCACAAATAGATGTTAACTCTTTCTCTCATCCAGTCATGAATATATTTTTCACTGCAAACTTTATATAATTCTTTCAGACTCGTGAAGAATGGCAAAATGTCTTCATTATAGCGGCCCTCGTGCACTATAGTGGAGTGATTTTTTACGCTATTTTTGCTTCTGGAGAAAAGCAAGAATGGGCTGACCCTGAAAACCTCAGTGAAGATAAATGTGGCATCATCGATCAAGATGAATTGGCTGAAGAAACGGAATTGAACAGTGATACTTTTGTTAATCAAAAGAAAACATATGGCGCTACTAGTCAGAACAGTGAAATAGCAAGAAAGGAATGGGGAAAGCAGAAGCAGGTAACACAGGACATAGAAGAACAGACTTCCTATCATTATGAAAATGGAAATTTTCAAGATCTGTCATAATACCTAAAAAATATATGGTTTGTGTGGCAAGTGCCCCAGCCCCTCCTGTGCAACCACCCCCAAACCAGGCAGTATCCATATTTATTTTCTTATTCATTCATGGAAAATCTTGCCAAATGGCTAGGTGTAATATGTAGTAATTTTCTCCTTGTTGTGTAGTAAAGGGCTAATAAAAGGGAGATATGGCAAATGTTGTTCTGGCTCTTGCAACCAGACCCATACTGGAGGACCCCCTGTTAATGCAGACCCTATTAGCTTCAGCTGAGTTCTACACTGGTGCAGGTGTCTTGTTGTGGGAGTAGGCAATTCAAATTCATATCATTTGAATATGAAAAAGGACAAAGCTATGGTAGATTTGGGGGTTCATGGTGATTGAATACAGTTCTTGCTGCTATCATGTGTGACCACAAGGAAACTCATTGACCTGAAGTCTGGCCATGGACATCCTTGAAGAACATTCTCATAAATGGATTCTGTACCATGACTCTTTAGGGATCTTGATGCTGTATGTGATGTGGCTGAATCAATTAATACATGGTCAAACTTTAGGTTCCTGCTGAGCAATCAAAGCTGAAGGAAAAGCAAACTCATGACATTTTAAAAATGTTGTTACATATAGTCATTCAACAGTGGAAAGAGGAATATGTAACCAAGGTCACTGAAGCTGTTATTTCAGCGGTGCTTTGTTCATGGAGACTGACTGCCTGTTCTTTTATGTCGGATGTACTCAGTTTGGATAAGGCAATACAATAGGTACTACTGAGGTTTTTCCCTCCACAGATTTTGTGTTGACATGAAGAAAATACTTTTGAAACAAAAATCATCTTCGCATTCATCATTAGTGACGTAATATTATTTCCACTTATGAAAGAAAATTGTAGTCCTGTCAGGATAAGCTTTTCACTCAGTACATTATTGTAAAGTGCTTTAAATATATTTTTCTAGGATTAAATTTGGATAGACTTATAGATCTCCCCCTAACTGCACTTTGTTACATGGATGAAATGACTTACATTAGTGAAGTCTGCAGTTCTGGGTCTAAACCTCTTCTATGTACTGCTGTTGTCTCTCCATCACTGTGCATGAGGTACAGTACATATTAGGTGTAAAGGGGTTTCTATTTAAAGAAATGCCCCATTATCAGATATTCTAACAATATCTTTCTGACATCAGTACGTTTGATATTATAAAATGGTTTTAGACGTTTTCTACCATTGTTGGACTCTACCAGGTTACAATGGAGCATGCTATATCATTTAAAATCATTAGCTGTACTCAAAGGCTCATTGTGGCAATAATATTGTTTCCTGAGAAAAGAATTTCAGTAAAATATGGTTTCATTTGTTTAGGATTAATGTCTCAGTAAAATCAAACAAAACTATCCCATCTAGTCTTGTGATGTTTTATGTGATGATTCAGCGTTGTTATGCAGTGTTCTGTTGTGTTTTGTAAAGCCAATGTAATGTATATGATTAGATTAGAAATTTACAGTAATTCTGAACACTGACTTGCTATGTTATTGTAGTGAAATTGTGTACTGTAGGTCCATTCATATGCAACCATATAATCCATGGATGACTTCTCCTCCTGCCATATATAACAGTAGAGCCATAGGGGGCCTCTAGGGCATAAAGGTTCTATTTGATCTATTAGGAACAAATCCCTGAAAAAAACTGTTTATACAAAAGGCAACTGGGTCCTTCTTTTCCATGTTGTTTTTCTGTGACTCATTATTAAGGATAAGATGACAGTGTGTTGTAAAAGTAGATGCATTAGTGGCTCATCAGAACTTCAACAGGATGGACTACAATCACATTTAAGTGTCTAAATCCACTTACATGACCAATAGGTGGAATAGAATCTGGATCAAAGAGGTCAGCCAAACTCTTTTCTGTTGCTTTCATAACCAGCAAAATCTAATCTAGATCATGCATATCTAACCAAACAGATGAAGGCTGATGGGACAAATCCTCTGGTATTGTCAGTAATCTACCCCCATTTTCACTTCAATAGAGATTTATCTATTAATGCCAATACTTAAGCTGATTCTTCTCAAAGCTGCTATAATCTGTACTTGTAGAAAGCTACAAGTAATTTGTTCGAGTACAACAGAAAAACCCTCACACATTTTTATTCTTTTTCAAGTCCTTTCAGGTGAATTTTAAGATGTTGAGTTGTCAAATTCCTTGACTAAATTTAGAACTATAAAAATACTCTTTTTTTCCCCCCTGTGCATCATCAACATTTCAGAATTTAGGGTCATGGTGTATTAAATTAAACATTGTGGTTACATTATAGATTACAGTTAGACCAAGTAATTTCAAACTCTCTCGCAGTGCCCACCACATCTTATGAAATCAGGGGTTGGCAACTTATGGCTTATGGGCCATATCTGGCCTGCAAAGTGCTTGGAGATGGCCAGCAGTGATAGAGCACTAGTGACACACAGTTTGGCCAGATGTGTCCTGTCTCTCTCCCCTATACCAAGCTGCTGATGTCACCCTTCTGCTTCTATGGCACATGCTGCTCACTGCCACTACCAAATTTACCCCCCTCATTGGTGTTGGGCATGGTAGCCAGAGGTGTGTGGCACATGGCACAAGTGAAGGCAGAAGCAGGTAGCCTGAGCATTGTGGAGGGGAGCTGCAGGCCACAGCAATGGCTCGGTTGCAAGCAGTAACCTGCTGCTCTAAAAGGTTGTCAGCTTCTCTATTAGAGCATCACCTCTCTTTTTATTCCTCCCTGCTTAGACAGCTTCCCTTCCTGTGTCCAATCACATAATCTGTGGCAACTGCAACTATTTTTTATATGGAACAGTAATATTACAAAACTGTTTAATATATGTGTCTATCTTAATGTAATTTGGCTGAGAAATAACAGATTTGAACTTCTCAGCAGTCCAACTACAACTCATAATTATTATTTGATTTTATAGATTGAACATAATTGAGTTCATGAGCAACTTTGACTTGTCTTACAATATAACTTATTTGGCTAGGAGCTCTGCAATGTAATTTTGTTAATCCAGCCAGATCACACTGATTCAGTTGAGGATTCTTTGAGGGTGACTTCAGTGGGACTTGAGACCCTATTTTGTCACTTCAAACAAGTGAATACGAAAAGTAATAGGTTGGCCACTATATGCAATTGAGACTTTTTATGGCTGAAAATTTTAACCAGTTTCCAAAGCAGAATATTGGACTTCATAGACAGAAGTCATGTGTCCATGTTCTCAAGGCCAGCAGTCAGGATAGGACCTTTCCATGTGATGATTTGGGATGGTTTAGTATAACTTAATACAGAAACATCCACAGATGCTGAAAGTTGTTTTCCTCTTTGGAAGTTTTTCTCCATTTATATACCATAGTAAACAACATAAACATTGCAGTTTTTATTGTATGCATACTACTGCACACCCAAATCTAACATAGAAGTTACTGGGATCAATCAGCTGTGAGGACTCCAGTTGGTGTAGGAGTTGTTATGGCACAACCTTTTTCATCAGTCATGCCACAAAATTCAAGACAAGGCAATAATTAAAAGAGAGCCAATTTCAAGAGTGATTCTGCTAACAGTTTCTGAAGCCAGAATTTGGGGCATTAACATGGTTTTGGGGAGTAATTCTCCACTTGACTTCTGTAGTTGAGAGGCATGGATCTGACTTGCAGGTCATCCCATTGTTCTCCCAGCACCCTCTGGAATCTTACCCAGGAAACTGTCATTTCTCCCTATCCAGCCTGATTCTGTCACTTTGGCTGTAGATATTTGGATTGGAACAAAATTACTCTTAAGAAAAAAAAATCCTCAGCCACTTCCTGTGAATAACCCAAATTAACTAGGTTGTTCATGACCTAGAAATGCTGTTGTTAAATCAGATTTGGGAAAACAATGAGTCTAAAGAGCCATTTTTATAACACCCAACCCTGACACTGAATGGCACCTGAACACAAATTTTATTGTAACTTTGATGCAGTGTTAACATGATTTGTTCTTTATTTACTATATTGTAAAATTCATTTACTTGTAAATTATTGAACTGGCTTTTATTCTCTTCAGTACAGCAAGCATTAAATAACAGCCATCTGAGACACAATATAAAAATGAAGCTTTATTGCCTAGTCTGGTAAACTTTGCATTTATAATTACCACATGCAATTTGTCCTGGAAGTAATGTATTTACTCTCATATTTTTGACACTAAGATCATTGTTTTGGGTGAACTTTGTAATGCAGTTATCAATAGGAGAAGGTGGGCCATCTTTAGTTTTTGTCACTGCATTCTAATAATTAAGTTCATAACTAGTTACTAGTATGTTTGGATCTCAGTACGAAGCACATGTCCCATGTTTAAAATAATTTAATAACAGTGCCAAATAATGGCACTTCCAGGTGCTGAGGCTGGCACATGATTTCTGTAATTAGATTAGCGCCTGGGTAGAACTAAGCAAAGAGAAGAAAACTTCTAAAGTGGGACAGATATTTCCAGAACCTTATTTTCATTTTAATACCAAGAAATGCCTACAGGGGATTCTCCTATACTGCATCTGGAGATCTCATTTCCCTGGAGAGAAAGTACTTTCTCTCAGGTGTTCACAGGAAGAAACTGACCATTTCTCTTTATAATACTACTACTGGTAGTACCACGTAAATTATCTGAAGGTAAATCATATGTAGGTAGGGAATGAGGGTTTTTCTGGTGTTTGTTCTATTTGTTGCACTGTGACTTTTCCACCAAGGTTTAAAAAAGAAGTCTGTTTTATAGACCTGCTTTTTAAGTGTTTTGTCTGTTGAAACTGGTTGGCATTTCCTGTATCAGATAGGACAAGAGAAATATCTTTAAAATGTCAAGTTTAGGTCTCCAACAGTCACTTGGCAGAGAAGGAGCCAGATGACCTGCTCCTGGGTCCTAGGACATCTCCTCAAATTTCTTTCCACCTTATCAGAACTTGTCCCATGCATGAGGCCTCTCTGTGGGGAGAGGGGTAGCTTCTAGTAAAACCTTGAACTAAAAAATTCTTAAACTAAAAAAATTCTTAAAGAATAACATGAAAATATTCATTTAATCTTAAAATTACCTGCCACATGCAGAATTTGAACCTGAAATAATTTATAATATCTAACAAAGTAGTTTGTAGCCTGTGAAAGCTCAGATCTCTCTGAATAGGTTGTCTATAATGTCCTGTCATCTGCTTGATTTTATTTATTTATTTATTTTTGGTTACTGAAGATTTTTTTAGAGGAGGAAATGGGAACTAAACTTCAGCTAATAATGGAAAGCAAGCCTTAAATTTAACTATACCATTTCACTATAATGAAAACCCGATGACCTCTAAGGTCCCTTCCAGCCTTTTAAAACTATGAAGCTATGAGGAGTGCTAGGATGGATAATTATGCCTACTTTCTTATGCACAAGTTAAAGATTTAGGAAGGTGGTTGGGAAAAGGGGAGAGTGTTAGGTGGTCCTACCTGTACCTTTTTAAACATTCCTTTATCATTCTTTTGCTAAGTTACAGCTGTTATTTTTCCTGTGCACCCAGTGTGTCCTAGATATTATTTGGCAGAAGTGTAATGCATTGAAATATCTCTTCTCTGTATGATTAGAAACATAATGAGGTAGGGAATTAAATAATTTTTCACTCACACAAGTAGGAACACCACAGACTGGGAACAGTGAAAACTGTGCGGTATTAGGAACATTACCCACAGAAGAAACTGCCTTTTGCAACAGGATATATAGAATATTGGTCAAAAAATAACAAGAGCAGCCAGCTGTTAAATGCCTAGCCCAGAGTAATATCATATGGTTTCATGAAGGTAGTGTAATTAAATTGAAATTAGCAAGGTAAAATTAATTCAGGGGTGTGCACAGTGTATCTCTAAACATACACCATGTTCTACATCTGTGTGTTCATTTTACCCTAATTATATTGTTAGATGGTTACAGAGATTCTGTAAAGTTATTTACCATTTTAAAGACAAATTGTCACAAAAAACATTGGCAAATAAATCCTTTATTTGTTATTTTTCCAGCTTTCTTTAAAACTATAACTTTGTATAATTTTTTTTCCTTTTAAGAAGCAGGGTATTTTTGTGGTGGAAAAGAGAGGGAGAAAACATGTAAGAATGGGTCTAGTAGCTGGACAGAATTGGTCCGTGTATTCCAGCTTCCACACCTCAGAGGCAGAAATGATCTGTTCCTAGATCTCAGATCTAAAACACCTAAGTGACTTTGAAGCAGATATTTTGTCAACTCCCAAAGTTTTGGGGTACTTGAATCTGGTGTCCCATTCTGGTTACATTTCTAAACATGCCACATTTGGTTCCATTTGGTAATATGAAACACTGGGATGGAAAAAAAATAATGGAGAGATTTA